ATTTTAATTTGTTAAACCTCTGTTGTATTTGTGCCCTAAACAAACAAATAATAAAGAGAAACTTCAAAACCCTAATCATAAATCCGGTTATTCTTAAATTGAACCTATACCTGAAGGACCGTTGAATCGTAATAAAAGATCACTTCATAATTCTGATCCACATGATTTAAATATACAATTGACCTAACCCCTTGTTCACGATCGGAGCTAAACTGACCCAATATCTTCGAAGCTCTCCTACCGGTCGTAACATTTGGTGCAAGTTGTGTGGAACCTGAATGTTATAGCGAAGAACTATTGCTGAAAGCTAATGTTAATTTTTAGTTTAAGGATATATACTTTGAAAAAAGCTGAGATTGAAATAACTTATCTGTCATGGATCATCTTTTTGATACTGATAATGATGATCAGAATCATGATCAAGAAGGTCAAGGAAACGGTTTTCAACAACAAATACATCAACTGCTACATTTAGTAGCAGGCACGCTTCCACAAGCCATTGAAAATAACCAAATACGGAAAACGAACATGGTGACCATCCCTACGTTTTCAGGAGGAAATCAAGACCCAGTAACATGGCTTGAAGCGGTGGGCCGTGCTTTCGAGGCTAACAACATCCAGAGAGATAGACGAATTGCAGTTGTAGAAGCATATCTTATGGGGATGGCAGCAATGTGGTGGGAAATGAGGAGAAATGTTAGGCCTCATATAGATAGCTGGGAAGATGACTTTCGACCGGATACGAGCTTCGTGCATCAGTTCCGGTTAAATTTTTGTACCCAGATGCTTCTAAGTCAATGGAGCACTGAATTACTTACCAGACACCAAAAGGTTGGAGAGACAGTTGATCAATATGCAGCGAAAATGGTGGCCTTGTTTAGGTGAGTAACGGTGGGCGGCAATCATTATCCTGAAGCAATGAAGGCACAAATTTTTGTGCAGAGATTACGACCTGACCTAGCGCTGGCATTAGGATTATTTATGTCTGGTACGCTACAAGCGGCGATTGAGAGAGCCAAAATTAGCGAACTGACCCTCGCTAGAAACATGACAATACATAATCCAACACCTTTTATGAATCTAGTAGCCTCTTACCTCCAACAATCATCTAACTTAATAGCTCAACCCACTATCCCGGACCCTGTCGGAGAACCGATAAAGAAATTAACTTCTTTAATGGAAGAATTAGTAGTGTCGTTAAAAAGTAATTCCAGAGGAAATCAACAACAAAATCGGAATAATACGCCATTCTGTGGAAATCGTGCACAGATCACATGTTTCGCCTGTAGACAGCCGGGACATATTGCCTCTGAATGTCTTATAGTGATAAATAACAATAATAATAATCAACAACCTTATGGAACGGAAGGACAAAGAGTAATCAACAATGATGAGAATACTAACCGGAATAGACCAACCGTCGACATAGCCCGTGCCCAAACTATGTTGGCTCAACTTTTAAATAACAAAAAATCTTTAAACTAAAAGGCACACCTCAGGAGGGTGAGAGTGTGTCCCCTACGGAAATTCCCTCAGTGAAATCTTTATTCGAAACGTATGTCGCTAAAAGAAGAAAGAAAAATGACGGAGAGGCTGAGGAAATCAACCTACCAGAAAACGAAAAGGAAGAAACGGAAGATCACGTGCACAAACCGATGAAAAAGATAATTGCAAAGAAAAGAAAAACTAAACCTATTGAGCCTCTAATTATATCCAATATTCAACCTTATTCGATAATGACTGATTTACAAAGTAAGAAAGCCGATATCACTTACGCTTAACTTTTCTAAGCGGCTCCTAATATTAGAAAGGAGATAACAAGATAACTAGGGCGGGACGAATAGCCACGACTAAAATGGCAGAATTCTGTCTTAAGCAGGATAAAAACCTAAAGACTACTTCTATGTATTGTGAAGCCCGAGTTAAGGATCACCCAATCCTTCTAATTCTCGATAGCGGATCTTCTGGTTGTGTTGTATCGGTGAGTTTTTTAAAGGAAGTCAATATTTCAATTGATCGCCCCTCGACATCTGTGATGATTGGAGTACATGGAGAACAAAAACGACCTTTAGGCGAAATAGATGATTTTCCAATTACAGTTGAAGATAAGACAATCACTTTTCGTGCAGTAGTAACGGATACCGAGAATTATGCTGTAATTGTTGGTAACGATTGGCTAAAGAAGGCCCGAGCAAGATTGGATTGGGAAGAGTGTGAATTAATGATCCGAGACGGGATAAGAAATTAAAAATACCTACCGAATATTGCAAGCCTGCCAATATTAACGATCGAATTAAAAAAAGAAAGAAGGTAACGGAAGATAGTGGGACAATTGAGGAGGAGGACTATTCAACTGAAGAGGAGACAGAATCAGAAAGTGATGAGGAAGAGGGATACGAACGAGAAGTCTTGATTAATAAAACTTACCTTTACTGGAAATTTCTAGAAGTCAACGAAGAACTCGAGACTTGCATGGTATGCTTGAGGATGGGACATCAAGATGAAGAGTATATATTCAGGAAAGACCCTGAAGTTCAAACTACTTATATTCGACATATGGTTTCAACTAGCTGCCATGCACGCTTTGTGCTACTACTTTTTCATCTAGGGTTCGCAACTTGTATGTTCCATTTTTAAATGTTTCATGTATCTAATAGAGTCCTAGCCATTTTGGCTCTAGTTTCCCACCCTTCAGAGTACCCAACTTCGCTTTGTATCGCCAGACCTTATTTCCGATCGTGAAGCTGCGTAAAGTATGCCGCTCGTCGTGAACAAATTTTTGTTTTTCTTGGGACCGTTTGATATTTTCTAACGCCATCACACGTGACTTTTCAAGTCATCTATGAGTGTCTTTATTCTGGTGAGAATTACCGTCTGTATTCTTTCTTCATTAATTTCTTCGGTAGGATATACAGTTACTTCTAACTCGACCGGTAATCGGGCTTCCCTCCCATACACTAAATAAAATGGTTTGTATTTTGTAGTATTGTGCTGTATTGTTCGATAAGCAAACAACGCTAATTGGACGAATTCATCCCAATCCTCTTTATATTGAATTATGCACTTAGACAGTATCTTACATAGGGTTCGATTAAACCTCTCGACTTGACCGTTCATTTGGGGATGGTAGGTAGACGACATCACATGTTTAATATTCAATTGTTGACACAATCCCTCAATCGCCTTATTATCAAAGTGGGTACCCTGATCAGATATGATCTCCTTAGGACTCCCATGTCTACAAATAATCTCATTGACAAGGAATGAGGCTACCGATTCAGCCTTGCAATCGGGTAAAGCTCAGACTTCTGGCCATTTAGTAAAGAATTCCATTGCTATAATCAAATATTTATTTCCTCTTTTTGTTCTAGGTAACGGTCCAACAAAATCAATACCAACTCGATCGAATGGTTGCGAAGGTTTTATCAGATGCAGCGGCTCATGAGTCATAAGTCGTCCTCTTTGCTGGCAAACTTCACATCCTTTTACAAAATTTTTAATGTCAGATATCATTTGGTCCCAATAATATCTCTTAGTTATTTTGTGTATCGTAGCCCTTTCTCCTAAATGTCCTCCTATGGCACTCTCATGAGTTGCCTCTAAGATAATCCTAACCTCCTTCCGTCGAATTACCCTTAAAGGGTTACGTGACTCTTTATTATTTTTTCTATATAAGATACCTTCTCGTATAATAAAGTATCGGGCTTGGACCTTAAGCTTTCGTAGCTATGCTCGATCAAATTCCTCAGGTATCATCAAATCAGCAAGATAGTCTACTAGACGTTGATAGGTTTCGTCTTCTATGTTTTTTTTTTTTTTTTTTTTTTTTTATATATATATACCAGGACACCGGAACCTGGTCTGGATTTTGTACCTCGGATTTAAATTAAGAGTTCTCTTGATTTTTTTTTTTTTTTTTTTTTTTTTTTATTAGTTTTTTTCTATTCTTGACAACCCATCTACATGGGGAAGTTGTTTACCTGGGCAGTGTTTGATTACAAAGTCGTATCCCTAAAGAGTTATTATCAGTCAGGCCATTCGTCCTGAAGGGTTGGCTATATTATTCAAGTATACCAACGCGGAATGATCTATGATAATCGTGAACTTAGATTCATGTAAGTATACGTGAAACTTCTTGACCACCCATCCTATTGCGGTACATTCGAGTTCCATTATCATATAATTCTTTTCAGAGTACTGGTGGATCTGCTAGTGTACTCAATAACATATTCTTTCTTTTCATCATCGAGTTGCGCCAATATAGCCCCTAGGGCTAAATGGGAAGCATCCGTATACAAAATATATTCTTTACTATCATTAGGATGAGCCAATATGGAAGCCGTAATTAACATTCTCTTCAAATTCTCAAATGCTGTTTGTTGTTTGCGATGCCATAGGTAGGGCGTCTGTTTTTTCAACAACTTGTATAGGGGCGCCGTGACTTTCGAAAAATCTTTCACGAACCTCCTATAAAAACCTGCTAAACCCAAAAATCCTCGTAATGATCTAATGTTTTTTGGTCGAGGGTATTCCTTTACGGCTTTAACTTTATTTTC